AACAACAGAAGCTATTTCAATTAATACTTAGTTAATTGCTTTTTATTAATGTATTTACCTTATTTTTCTTTGTGTCTTTCATCTTCTAATCAATTTTCCTTGGTATTTCGTTTACCATTATTATTATTTCTTTACCATTTATTGCTATTGACATTTCTTTTTTTTTTATGACTTTGGATTTCTATGTCTTGTTTGCTTTTCTTTACACAACTCAAGAGTTTTACTTAATAGCCATGGCAATATCATTTGTTATGCTCTGAATTGGAAAAGGATGTATGGCTTTGAATAATTTAAAAAACTAATATGGCTTTTGAAATAAAATAGTAAATCACATAAGAATTGAAAAAAGAAACAATCAATAACATTTAATGAATTTCTTGGACGTCAATAATAAAGTTATTTTCTAATTCTAAGCTTTGACAAGAGTCATTTGGTGAAAGAATATATCCATCAAAGATAAATTTAAGACGGTCGAGTGGTTTATTAATTTTAGTAGCGTATTTTTCAAATAATTTTTCTAATTTATCAATCTAAAAAATATAAATATTTCATATTTTTATTCATATTTAAACAAAACAAACAGGGCTAATTTTAAATAAGTGCATTTCATTTTCAAATCTTAATTTCAATTTGATGTATTGTGAAGAGTCAATTGAAGATCTATCAAGAGTAGCGTCAAGACAGTCCTGATCTCCAATAGTATAATCTGGTAGTGTTTTGTCATTATTTAATAACATTCCCATAAATCTAAGTGTTAGTGCTGGAGCTGCACTTTTTAAATACTTTTCTTTTAATTCTAATATCGTTGCATTTTTGGATATTTGAACTTGAGTTTTTTCTTTATCTCGTGAAATATACACAGTAATCATATCCTTCTTATTACCAAACTCTTGTTCTAGTTGTGACTTAGTACTTGGAATATATGATAGGTGGTAATGATTTTCTTCTGAAGCATCAAGATCAATGAACGTCATTTGTATGGTTTGGTTTAAAAAATTTTTTTTAATATTCAGTAAACCCTATTTCAACTTCTTCTTCATTTTTTTCAAATCAATATCAACCAAAAATAATTTGTTCAAGTTCATTTGATGTATATATTCTTTTATGGTTGGAATGCCTAACTTATTTAAATTTAATTTGCTTTTCTCTAAGGCTCTTATGAAGAAAAAAGTTATTGATTCTGGTTTAATTCGTTGATGTGTTTTTGTTAAATGAAAGAAACTCCATAAAATACAAAAAGAATTAATTTTTAAAAAGAAAGAATTATTTGAAATTATTACTATAAACTCTTAAATGTTTTGTCTTTTGTTCAAATAGAATTGGATATCATAAGAAAATTTGAATCAAAAAATTAGCAAATAAGTAAATAGTACTTTTTTAATGAGGTAATATAAATGGTTTTTGTTTTTATTCTTATTTTGTGATTTATATGGTATTTTGAGTTATATCCTTTTTCATTTATAATATTCATAACTTTTACTATTTAAACCAACTCATATATTCACTTTATTACATTTTCTTTATGGATATTAAAAAAAGTAATGCTTAACATAATTTTATTTTAAAGTTTGAGAGATAAAAAATAAAGTGTTAATACTCTCTTTTCTAGGTTGAATAATAATTGTTTGTATATTCAAAAACAAATCTAAACAGAATTATGTAACTTAAAAGTAGAAAAAAAGCAAAAAATAGATTCAATATTATTTTATTTAAAATAGAAAGAATAAAAATCAATACTTATATTCTTTGTATTTTTCTGAAAGATTAATTTTGGTGAATTATTTTTGTCAGAAAATAAACTTTGTTTAGCTCTGATAAATCAAAAAGGTTAAATACAATATATTAAAAGGTTATAACACTAGTAAAAACACAGTCATTGAAAAAAGTAGAAATTAAAATATTTATAAGAACTTTAAGAAGAAGAGAGGAAGGTTTAAAGATTAATCTATTCTTAATAAAGAGTTCTATTTTTATTATTTGTTTTATTTAAATTCAATTATTATTGAATTAATCAAACTTTTAATAAGTAATTTCTATTTTATTAACTAAAAAAAACAAATAAGAATTATTTGAAAAAAAATATTACCAAAAAAAAATTAAAAAAAAAAGAAAAGAAAAATAGAGAAAAAACTATAAATAATGAAAATATTACAATGACTGTTGATGAAAAACAAAAACACAGGAATATTAAAGTGTTGTTGTTAGGGGAGTCAAGTGTTGGTAAAACATCAATCACTCAACGATATGTTGATAACACATTTGAGGATATTTATTTGTCATCAGTTGGAGTTGATTTTAAGTTTAAAGAAATTAAAAGAGATAATGAATTAATAAGACTTCAAATATGGGATACTGGTTTGTTTATTTAAATAGGATTTATTAAACAAATAATTAGTGCTTATTGATTAGCTGGTCAAGAACGATTCCAGAGTATTGCTAAGTCTTATTATCGAAATGCAGATGCTGCGTTTATTGTTTTTGATATTAACAATGAAAGTTCTTTCAAAAAAGTTCAATTTTGGTATAATGAAATATCACAAGAAGAGGCTTATCAACTTGTTATTCTTGTTGGAAACAAGTATGATTTAGAAATGAAAGTAACTGATGAATTAGTTAAGTCTTCTTATCCTGATTCTATTTATTTAAAAGTATCAGCTAAAACAAATGAAAATATTTCATTATTATTCGATACTCTAATTAATTGTTATTTAAAGATGGTAATTCAACCAATAGAAAAATTAGCTGAGCCAGAAACAATTGATATAATAACTTCACCTTCTTTGAATTCCACTAAACATTCTAATTGTTGTTAATTTATTTATTTTATTTCATTTGGTTGTTAAATAAACTTATCTTATAACTTTTTATGTATTAATTAATATGCCTTGTAATTTATGTTCTCAAAATACATTAAAGTAACTCTCTTATTTCATTGGAATACCTGTATGCGTTATTTATATTCAACTTATAATAATGGCTTAAAAAAAAATTAAATGTTCCTGTGTTATTTTTAAAATATGTTATTTTCTTTTTTTATTAAGAATATCTATAGTTATATTCATATAACTATATGAACCTTCATATATAAAAATATATTTATTACATCTTTAAAAGATGTTAACAAAGTTATCTCTTTTCAACTACTTGTTCGTAGATATATCTTAAGCTAAAACATATAACAATAAATAATAATAATAATAATAATAAAATCTTTTATTTGATAGAGTTATGAATTTAATACAAGTGTCTAGTTATACACTCAAAATATGATGATTATATGTACAACTTAATGATAAAAACTTATTTCTTTATTATGACAGTTAGTAATTATTGTTCATTGTTCAAATGAAATATAATAATGTTCTGTTATTTCTACTAAACATGTTTTGTTGTAATAAAACAAATATTCCTTTATTCAATCAATGATCTTCATTATCAATTAGTTTATTAATTGATAAATATGTTTAAAGTTATTGCTTTTTGATATTCTATATTTATAAAGATTATTTGATTATTAGTATTGACTGAAAAAAAACGGAGTTGTTTAATTCTTTGCTTTGAAATAGAACAAGAAAATATATAAATTAAAACTTCTAAAAGAGACAAATAATTCTAATTTGGTATAGATGCTTCAATAAGGAGTATAACAAATAAATAAACTGTTTTTGATAATATCAATAGAACCATTCTTAATGTTATAGTTTTAATACAATAATTAATGAAACGTAATACTTCATATACTCACAAATTATGTAGAACAAAAAAACAGCATAATTCACAAACTAACTTGAGTTAAAACAAGAGCCA